CCGTAAGCTCCAGATGCGTATGTATAACCAGGAAAGATATTTCCTGGGGAATGACCTCCGAGGAGAACCGAGAGCTAAGGCAGTTTGGCAGTTGAAACGCCCAAGAACCACTGACAGGAGGTAGACCGGTTGGTTCAAAGGAATAATAATGCCAATTTTCAACTGTTGAGGAGTGAGCTGACGAATACGCAGGGGTGAGGTGCGTGGACGGACAGAAGTGCTGCAAACGTTCGATCTTTTTAGATTGAGTATTGCAAGTGGGAGTTTTTCAATGTGGAAAAATCCAAAAGCTGAGAGACGAGCGAAAGCACGTCGCTATTCTCTAGTGTGCTTGCTCGGAAGGATTTATCAGGACAAGAGTAAACAAGATGAATGGTGTTTCTGAAGACGAGTAGAGCACGTAACACAAATGTAATTCCCAAACAGGAGTTAAGAAAAATAGAAAGCAAGCTGAAACAAACAGGCGGTCAGTATTAAGCAAAACAGAGACGACAATGATGTAATGAAAGGCTAAATAGGTTATACGTTCACTATGCCGAGATAGGCAATTAGTGAAGTCAGCTGTGCCGCTAGGACTTTCCTGATAGGCTGACGTACTGTTCCCATCTTATTGTTAGAAATCCTAGTGAAGGGAGCATTTACGGCCTTTTAGCCCGAATTTGGCTCCCTGTTAAGCTACTTTGGAGGAGCTGCCTCATAATGCCTGTCATATTTCTAGTTAGGTCTTGTTGGTAGGGTGACTGTCCGAAATTTCCTTATTGCCTTCGTACACCCCGATCATCAACCGGGCATCCGGGATAATGACTGGACAATATTTGTCATGGTTGACGGGGAAGACATCCCAAGAAGCGCTCAGCAAGATTTCAAAGACCATGGTCATCCGCGATATACCGGAACTGACGGCCGGCAGTCAATGAAGAAAAGGTGCAAATAACTTTCAACAATGGCAGCAGTTGTCATCAACAGTGAGGTTGAACAGAAGAGTAGAGGCCACATTTTGTAGGCTCTTATGTCCCCCATATATGATAACGGTGGCGTCATCTAGATTGATTGTCTTCAACTTCAGAAGCCTAGAACTCTAGCTGGCGGTGCTGCAGATATGGTTAGTATTCGAGGGCACCGTCGGTGACGATTTTCATTGTTTCGAAAAGGGATCCGGATTACCAAGACCAAGGCATACAACAGTAATTTTTCATGCTCAGGCCGCCACCACTACATCGAAACGACGAGGACCACAGTGATGATCCTGACCAAAAATGATTATAGACTCCACTGGGCTGCCTCCACTAGAACTAGCAGGTCAGTAAACGTTTCACTTACCGCAGATGATCCTTCACTCTCAGCCACCCATGAAACACCCACACTGTGAGAAGCACCATCAATCGGGTTCACAGGAATGTGAATAGACTTGGGGACGGCATGGCGGGGCTATGATCAACCCGTGAGCATCTTGCTCAGAAAATCATAATCCTGCTAGAAACCTGGTCACTGTTGAATACTTGTGACACCGAGGAGAATATATATATATATATTTATGCACTCTTCGGCGTCACAAATATTCAACAGTGACCGGGCTTCTACTGGGACTATAGTTTTCTGAGCAAGGTGATAATGAATTGATTGTAGCTCCGCCATGCTGTCTCCAAGTCTGTTCACATTCCTGTGAACCCGATTGATGGTGCTGCTCACTATATATATATATATATATATATATATGTATATATGCATCATGTTTCATGTTCAGGAGAAGGCGGAAGGAGAGAGGGAGGGGGTTTATTGAGGAAGCCACTGGCACTGTAATGACAGGCGCGATAGGTGTCTGGCGGGTTAGGCCCTATTAACCAGTTACCAGCAATGCGAAACGCAATCGACGGCTACTTCAGACAGAATAATCACTGAGGAACCTGAGGTCGAGCCAAGCTGTCATAGCAGGAAATTTTGACGTCCCATCTCCTAACCCAGGAAGAGACAGCGCAGCTCAGAGCCAAAAGTTCTGGTAGAGAATGCCAGGCGCTATCAGGAGACTGTGCTACATAGGAATGTCGGCGTTGATGCTCGCTGTAAGCTTGGCAGAAAGACATCAAAACCGATCTGCCTCCTAGTTAGCAACGATCTGTCGGTAGAAAGCACTCAGGTCCTAACCGCTTTCAACGCCAGTGATCATGGCGTGATATGGCTTGATCTGGTAACCAGTGAACAGCTATCATGGGGGAGACCTCGCCCTTGTCTTCGGCACAGCAAGGGCGAATACGTGGCGGTGAACCGATGTCTGTCGGTGGCCTCATGGCCTCGAGAAGAGAGCTCCTTATTGGCTGATCAACGCCGAAGCCACTGGGGGATGTCTTTAAGGAGGGGTTATCTAAAAGCGTCTCCGTAATGGCAATAACACATAAGAAGCGGACCCTACGGTCGAAACGAAGCCCCTGGAAAGGTAAGAGGAAGGTTTGGTTTAAACTGATGCTCTCCAGAAGCAAGTCGGATCATAGTGCACATGTGGCTCTGAGGAACCAGCGCAACATCAAGATATGTGGGGAGGTCGTTCCAGGTAAACCTGACTGGATTCATGAAAAATACCCGCGGACAGAATAATGCCGAAAAGCCTGTCGCCGCCTTCGGTGTGCAACTGATTATTCCGTCGCTATATCAGACTTATCAACCGCCTGAATAACTATTGAAACTAACCAGTTTAGGAGATTTGCATGGAACGCAAGTATGCCCTGCCATAGCTATGAGAAAATAGCCGAAGCTGAACTCTGGAAAATCTCGAGGATTCGATGACATTCGTTCATCTATGTTGAAACAATGCATGAGCACTCCAATTGACCCACCCTATAAACTTCAACACCTATACAAACGCAAGCTCTCATGATGATGGGAACACACCATTGTTTCTCCCTTCCTTATAGAAGACAGGCAGAACTCAAAGTGATATCAATAAATAACACTTCCACTAGTGTTATCTAAAGTAGTAGAGAGTCCGTTGAAAGGCTGCATCAGATGGTCAGAAAAAAGGAGACAAATCATAATCGGTGTGACTTGTCAAAGTACAGGTCATACACCTTAAGCCTTTTGGTTGCACGTGATAACTGAACTGCACGCCGAACGTCAAGGTCCCTATTTAAGTTTTTCCTCTGGATTTCGCCGAGGACTTCGACAAAGTCCTGCATGGCATTCTCATACGTAGTAAAGCAAGGTTACGTGTCAGAAGTTACATGCTGTCCCGACCGGAGGACTGTTTATGCTGTGTACAGTTCCGTACAACCGTCGGCAGAGTTTACTCAACTTGGCGAGCGTCGTTGTCCAGCCTATCACAGGCAGCAATCTCCTTATCGCTCCAAACTTCTTGAGCAATTTTCCATGTTGCATCGGCCGATTCCATGAAGGCAGGTTATCAACAAATGTTTATATTTTCATATTTGGGGGGGGGAGGGCACAGCTTCTTGAAGAGAATCGAGCGCAATCCCACCCCAGAGTTTTTGAGGTAGGCGAAAAACGACGGACTGAAGATGACCCGGATAAATGCCGAGCCATGTGTTACCTCACTCTCGAGTGGCATAAGATATCTTACTATCTGCGGTACGCTACATCCCAACCCGACCACTGAAGAGGACGTGGGACTAGTACCAACTGATAAACCAAGCAGTAGTTCCAGTTGTCTAGGAGGGGCTTCCAGGGCCTATGCAGTACTGTATGCTTTGTTCACCAGACTGGCCGTTCTAACCCCGGAACCTTTCCTGAAGTTGTACGAGACACATATACAACCTCGCCTAGATGTTCACAACGTCACTGCACCGTCACAACTGAAAAGACGTGTGAACCTCCCGAAGTAAGATCGGAGACAAGGAACGAGTGTGCTGTAGGTGTGCAGCGAAAATCATGCGAAGATAGCTAAATGACTCTTCAAGTTACCAAACGAAGTCGCCCGAACAGTGCAATTTTGCCAAACCACCACCCTGGCAATCCCCGTAAAAACCCGAAGACCATCGTTTATCAGGTGGCGGAAAACCTTTTGGGTTCACGCTTTCTTTCTCTTCGTCTTCCAGCTCTACCGTTTGTCAGTTATCTTCAATCATTAAATGTAAGTGCATCCCATGCACTTGCTGAGTCGTCGGCTCACCCTTCTTCGCTTCTTTTTTCCTTTCCGGATTCGCGTGGCCACCACCAACCACAATAATCTGCGCGCCCCCTGTAACAACGCACCTGTCTACAGGTTAGACGAAAACTTATCAACAACTGGTCGTTACAACACCCTATTCATTAAGTTCTGCACATCCCTGCTTTCTTTCCCGTCTTCCCTGAACTTAATATTTTCCATTCCTTTTGTTTCAATGTCCTCACCTTTGTTTAGCATTCTCTCTCATCCACTGTTCTTACTTATGTTTTCAGTTGTCACCCCGTTCCTCTTACATCCACTTCGAGCAACTGCCAGGCAACCTGACTTCGGAAGAATCTGTCTGGACCAAGACAAATCAGTCGTCTCCATACAAATGTCGCCAACATCCAGTCACCCATTGGGTTTGCCAAGGCGGCAAAAAGCGAGTGACTGAATCTACTGCATCGAAATCCACTAGGGACCCGAAGCCATTCCACATGCGAGCACGAAGTCAATTGCTTTTACAAACCGGTAAAACATTGGGTATTCCAGGTGACGCGCATCACCCTCTCATGATAAGCCTATGGATAAGAGATTTACGGATAAAACTTACTGCGAAAACTAAGGTATTCGTTAGGACTGTGAAATGTTTGCGATGATGTCTGCTTTAGGGCATTATACACTCAACAACCAATGTTCAATAAACGTATGCTTGAATTCACACTGTTATTTTGATGAAAACATTTATTCATTGTAGATAAGCCCAACTATGCCACAAAAATTTAATATGTTGTATTCTGATTGTAAGCATACGTGCACTAACTGTGTTTGACTAAGCCTTGATGTTTCGCTTTTTGAACTGGTATCCAAAGTCTTGTGAGGCTTGAATGACAGTTTTGGTGTTTAGATGTCTCCGACTCCTCCATCTAAACGACAAAAGATACTGTCCTCTGTAGAAAATAACAACAATAACAATTTTCATACAATTGCTAGTGTAAACTTATCAAACGTAAGCAAAGGCTTGAAAATAATTAGTCTTTTTTTTTAAGGGGATGGAAGCCAATGGAGAAATTTCTGATCTGGATGAAAGTCTTTATAGTCGTCAGCTTTATGTTTTTGGGACTGAAGGCATGCGCCGAATGGCGACTACTGACATTCTGGTTGTTGGCCTAGAAGGACTTGGACTTGAAGTAGCCAAAAATATAACCTTGGCTGGGGTTAGGTCTGTGACGCTATATGATAACACCCCGATGTGTTTGTCTGACCTTTCTACTCATTACTTCGCGAGCATTGGTGATATTGGCCATCCTCGCGCTGAAGTTTGTAAGAATAAGTTGGGTGAATTAAATAATCATGTGTCTGTTCACGTCGTGAACAAATCGAAACTAGGTCCTGACGACCTAAAAAAATTTAGTGTGGTAGTATTAACTCAGGCATCTGAAGATCTGTGTGTAGAGTACGGGGATATATGTCGAAGTTATGGTGTCAAATTCATTGTTGTATCAACCTGTGGCCTGTTTGGTAAAGTGTTCTGTGACTTTGGAGCCGAATTTGTTGTGCATGATCCAACTGGTGAAGATCCACCCTCAACAATGATTCAACAAATAGAGCAGGTAAGATGTGTGTAAAAAATTATTTTCAGAGCAAAAAAGGGATTGTAACTTGTTTGGAAGAGACTCGTCATGGATTTCAGGATGGTAACTATGTCACATTTTCCGAAGTAAAAGGCATGGTTGAGCTAAATGGTTGTGAGCCTAGAAGAATCACTGTTGTAGGTGAGTACTTGTTTGGTACATGGTGCATTTTTCTAGGACCTGATGCATTCTCCATTGGGGATACATCAAATTTAAGTCCTTACATTGCTGGTGGCATTTGTACGCTTGTTAAAATGCCACTGAAGCTCAAATTTGTAAGTTCCATAGGCCCTCATGATTTTTTTTCTTGACAGAAACCTTATCGAACAGCCTTCTCCTCTCCAGCTTTTATGACAACAGATTTCGTGAAAACCGAACGTCCTGCTCAGATTCATCTTTTTTTCAAGGCTCTTAGCGAGTTTAAAAATCAAAAGAAATCTCTTCCCAGACCATGGTGCAAGGAAGATGCACGTGCATTCTTGGAATTTGTTGAGAAAGTGAATGAAGCGATGAAAGGTACAGATGCTGCAGTTTCATCAATTGATGAGAACCTCGCAATGCTCTTTGCATGCATCTGCTCAGGCCAATGTTCTCCTATTCAAGTAAGTTGATTGTTTGATGCAAATAAAATAAAATAGTCAGTTATAGGTAGTTTTGCTGCACAAGAAGTTATGAAAGCTTGCAGTGGAAAGTTTACACCACTTCAACAATGGGCCTATTTCGATGCAATGGAGTGTCTACCTGAAGGTTCATTTCAAGATTTATTAGTTTCAGAGGATGACGCAAAGCCGATTGGATCGCGTTATGATAGTCAAATTGCTATTTTCGGCCATGCTTTCCAGGAGAAAGTAAAGCAACTGAAATACTTTATCGTAGGTTTTCCTCTTGTGTGCGTAACATATCTGGTCTTCAGGTTGGTTCAGGTGCAATTGGGTGTGAGTTACTAAAGAACTTCGCCTTAATCGGAGTCGGGGCGGGACCATCGGGAAAAGTTATTGTTACTGATATGGATCTCATCGAAAGATCAAACCTAAACCGACAATTTTTGTTTCGCCCATGGGACATCCATAAAATGAAGTCCGTTGTTGCTTCAACAGCCGTCAAAACCATAAATCCAGAGGTTTGTCTTTTTGTTTAGTTTCATAATCGTAGGTAATGTATTTCTGCAGAACTTTGTTTACTGGTTTAGGGATACATTTAATAACAGTGCAGATGGTTCCTCCACTCAAGGAGCGACAGGAACATCTCAAGCTCATTGAGTCTAAAAATTTTTGATCACTTCGCAAAGTGGTTGTATGCAACGGCAACTCAGATGGTAGTTGTGTGCCTAGAGCTTGAACGAAGAATCCTAGGCGTAAACTATCTAGCTTCAACAACGATGGTAATTAGAACGCAAACCCCTAGCTTATTTCATTTTTCCAGACCAGTACTCGACCAATATAAATTTGTAGAGTCCATAGTTAAAGCAGTGGAAGTAGATTTTGGAGGACACTCAAATGTGTTTTAAAAAAACTGTAAGGAAGTATGTGGTTACCCTAGGGATTATGTTGATGTCAAGGGCCTCAACACGATTGTGACGAAATTAGAATTATCCCATGACTAGTACAAGACTAATCTATGATGATTCCCTGCTAAACAACTAACTGTTTCATACCAATCTTCAGCAACACATTGCCGTTAAGAGTAAAAGACAGTAGGTTAAAGTTTTCTAACTATGAGCTCACAACTCTCATCTACTGTTTTATACGTACATATATACATTATGTATGTATGGCGCAGGCCCAGCCTAAAACTACCATATCAGATGAAGCAAAGATAGGTTAAAAGGAGGCTAATAGAACTGTTGCTTATCAGTTTAGGCAGTTGACTTCCAAACATTGGGTCATGGGTTCACATCCCTAGTCAACTACCTACGTTTGGACAGCCAGGTAGTAACAGTCCTCGCACAGCAGGTGTTGCTCATTGCTTGCTACGTAAATGTGCACAAGGTTATTGAGTGCATTCTCAACATTGATGGTGCGAGCGTAGAAAACCTATCTCTTACGTCTAGTTCTTGGGCTTATTTCGTGTCGTTTGGTTTGCTTCTGTAGTGAACAGAGAAATCTCTTTTGCTTTTATCTCCGGTGAGGTGGATATTTTCATCGATTAGTAAATTGCAATTTCTAGAGTGATTAGGGAGCTACGGGCTTCTGGAAAGATTAGGGGTCTGTCTTGACTTGTTTGTGTAGGTGCCTGAACAGGAATAGCAAGATGGTGAGAAAAGCATATGGGAATTACCTGAAAGGTAAAAGCTTGTAGCATGGCTCTCATTGTTAGAGAAGAGAATGATAAGTAGAAGGGAAGTAATGGTAGGCTAATGAGGTTAGTAACTCCCTGAGTATGTTTGTGGTGAACCATGAGAAATGACATGACTATGTAACCATCTTTTGAATTAGTCTACTGAGGGGCTATAGCTACATCCTACGGTGGGGCATTCCGTAAAACACATACTCATAAGGAGAAAAAGTTAGGTTTGAGCCTGATGTGTTATCTTAATGGGGTTTCCTCGTGACCACCGCCATGATGCAGGCAAGGCTAGTTTGCGTGATTTGCCTGATGGATGATCTTGTAGGCCATAATAAGGTCACTCTTTCTGCGATAGCCCAGGATGAATAGTTTTAAGTGTTTCAGAGTAGGCCTTCGCCTTTAGTTTCACAACTGGTTTTGTTACAACCTTTGTATTTTTTAAAGGAGATTAGAGTCTGTCTTGAGTGTTGAGGGTGTCACCGTGTTGAAGACTTATAGGTGCGGCCGTACGTATGGTTTAAAAACTGTGAGGAACATTTCAGGAGTGAGGGCACCAAGTTGTCTACACAGAAAGTGCAAAGTGGCGTTCTCTGTGGTTGTCGTGTCTTTGTAGTTCGAGCTGGTATTCAAGGTGTTGGGGAAGTTGAGCCTCAAATCTTTCTCCGTGGATACTCTGGTGACAGCACAGTTGCTCTACATGTGTCGGAAGTCGGCCATCTTTACTTCATGGGTACTGATGTGAATTACTTTGCACTTTTTCAAGTTGAAGCTGAAACCGTTTTTTGACGATCAGAATTCAATTTGCTACAGTCTGCCTTGTAGTACTACACAGTCGGTCTCTTCGTAATGTCATCAGCGATTAGGAGGATGGATGAGATTTTGTGTGGCAGATCGTTGACAAACGGGAGGAACAGAAGTGGTCCTAGGATTGCTCCTCGGGAAACTCCTGACGTTGATGGTCTCCACTCTGACCGTATTCTGTTCATCTTGATGTAGAGCTGCCTGCCTTCTAGGTACTCTGAACCAAGAGAGTAGAAGTTCATTTGTACCGACTGACACGATCTTGCGAAGCAAGATTGTCGGTGGAACACTGTCTAGTGCTTTAGCTAAGTTAAAGCAAACAACATGTACTGGCTTTCTGTTGTTCCAGCTAAATGTCCAGTCGTCTCAGGCATTCAGGAAGCTAGTGGTACATGAAGACCACTCCGAAAGCCATGTTGAACAGTATGGACGCTGTTATCCTGTTAAGAAATTCCCAGATCTTGTCAGTTATCAGGCTTTCTAGTACTTCGAACAGTATAAGGAGTAGGGGGATTGGTTTGTTGCTGCCGGGACGTTTTCTCTCTCCCCCCTTGAAGATGGTGACAAGATGGTACATTTCCATTCTTTAGGGAATTTGCATGACTCTATTGGGTGTTTGAAGACGTTGCTGATTGGTTTTACGATTGACGGAGCAGTTTTTTAGGATTATCGGTTTCAGGTTATCGCAGTCAGGGGAATTGGCTGGACGGAGACTGGATAGTTTTTCCTATACCTTTTTTCTCTGTGATTGGTATGTGGCAGAGGTATTCCTTATTTATGGTGTGATCAATGTCGTATCGAATTGGTGCAGATTTAATGTCAGTAATAAGTTGAGCTTGGAAGCTCAGCTGTCTCTAGACTGCTTAGTACGCCTCCATTAGGACCTGTGGTAAGATTTACTCCTTTGGTGGTCGAAATCCTTTTTGATATGAAGCGGTACAGGTTTTTGACGTTACTGTGTAACCTGCTTACCAGGTTTGTTCGATAGCTAAAGATGTCGCTACGGTCGGGAATTCTTTTGTAGTTCAAGAAGTCAATCTCCCTGGGTGATGAACACCACTTAAACCAAACCTACTTCTTGGTCTGAAGTGGCCTCTCTGTTCCACTCTTTAGCTATGAGGTTCTCACAGACGGCCTGTGTCACCTCTGGCACTGACTGATGGTCTCAAGGATTATTTCATTCACCTGTATCCAGTGTTCGTCTGTTGTGAGACGAGTCCAGTCTACAGGCCAGGATGCATTCATCAGGCAATCTCTCATGGTTTTGTAGTTGGCCGTTTTGTAGCAAGGGAAGGTGTTTGGCGTCTCCGGTTGCAGAACCTCTTTAGTGACCATTGGGAAAGTTATTACTGCATGATCGTTGAGGCTAAGAGGGGGTCGCATTCATATGTCCTCAATGAAAAGATCATCGTTCGCCAGATCGTAGTCCAAACGCGATGCATTTCCGTCAGGCCCCCAATGTGTGACCACCTACCCAATCAACAGTCTCAGTTGCACTCTTCAGTTTTGACTGAAGCATCTGGCGTACCTCCCTTTCACCTTGAAGAAGATGGACAGGGTGTTGAAGTCACTGGGGACGATCACGAAGTCGTAATCTGCAAAGGAAGTCGCCAAGCTTGCCTTGATAACCATCTTTTTATGAGTGGGGGAGCTAGTGGGGACCGACATGACCCCAAGCAGGTATTTGATGTGGTGAAGGGTGAAGTGGCACTATGATTCCGGGAGTTGGACTAGAGCCATGTCATTAATCGCTCTTGAGAGCTTACGTAGGGAGCCACTTCCCCTCCTGCTCTGAACTGTCTCTGCGGAAGTTCCATGCCAGTGACACGCATCTCTCTGTCAGAAATGTCTTCCGAGAGCCAGGATTCTGTGACAACTACGATGTCAGAGGGCCGGCATTCGTGCAGCGTCATCTCTGCTAGTCTGTGCCTGATGGGAGGAAAAGACTGGTTGCATATTTCCGTGAAGGGAGCACTTACGTGGTTGCTTCTAGGATAGTCAGTCTTCATTTTTCCCCGCTTTACTTTCAGCTTGCATGGGGACTGCAATAGCAAGAGCCTCAGTACCCGCAGTACCTGATTCACTGACTTGTACCTGTATGACAACCACTGACTCCACAGGTCTTGTCGGTCGCCGTCTCTTGCCTGGTGGGTCTTGGCTGACTCTCACACATGCGTATTGAGCCACTTGTGGCTGTCTTATTTCTACGCCTGCTTCACCATTTCCTTTTTTAATGCATAGTCTAGTCCTCGCCAGGAGTGGGACTGCTTTGAGACATATTAGGGCTACTCTGCGTCACTTGTGTGGTAGCTATTAGTATTCTCGGAGCAGGGGTTGAGCGCTTTTTTAGTTGATCACTACTCTACCCTACCTCTATTTGACTGGATTTCTGGGGTCATTGTCCGTCCTAGTATACGATCGCGTTATCTGCGTCAATGCTTCAGATCTACCGTTTCGGACCGGGATGATACTGTATGTATGAAGGAAAATAATTTTTGGTTGGCTTACCTTTAGACACTTCTCACTTGTTCTTCTGTGTTTGGCCAACGAGTTTAGCTGTGAACCCCAGATGGATATATAGAACCAGAAAAGATGGTAGAACAGTGGGTTCGAGGAACTAATAATACTGGTTTTTCCTGTTAAGTATGTTGACAAATATGCAGTAGTCGAAAGCATGTGCGACAACAGGAGTGTTGCAAAAGTTTCGTTTTGATGGATGGGATATTCCAGATGAGGTTCTCCTTATGTGGGGAAATCCTAAAACGGAGTGACGAACAGCTCATGTCACTATTCGAAGCGCGCGCAGTGAAGAAAGCTGTGTCCAGACTAAGATGTAGTGAGATTTCTTAGCGATATAGAAGTGTAGGTTGCCTGAGTTCTTTAAGACGTTAGAAATCATTGCTCAGATATGTCTCAAAATCAGTCACAATTCGCAGATCTATGTACCTATCATTTTACTAGCCATCACTATTATCCAGAACATTTAGATGTCAAGTCGAAACTTGTTTTAAAACGCAATAATTGTTTTGGAAGCTTCAGTAACCTCGTCCCTTGAACTTTAAAGACGATAAACGTTTAAATTTTTATGTAAACTCGTCCATTGATTAACTTGCTTTACCGTTCACAGTTGAGTTGAATTAATTCTAGTAAAATGAAATACTATTTTGTTTGTAACACGAATTTAGAGATGTTTTCATGCATTGCTGCTGGGAGATCTTTTGAAAAAATCTAGATTTGTGATAGTAAGATGTGACGAAATTTAACAAGACAAAACAAAACGTTGGGTAGTGATAACGATAAGCTTTGAAAAGGTAGTCATGTCATCACCTCTTGGGATGTGAGTAGTTGCGCGCTTCCGACCGTCAGTGACATTTTCCTACTTTTAATCATTCCCCTCTGTTTAAAGACAAGTGTCGTCGCCTTGTAACGTGGATCGCCTGCAATAAGTTTTTACGGCGTCATCTTTCGCAATGCAATTTCCTCAGAGTGTAGCCTTAGTTCACTAATCTGGTTACTCAGCTTTCAATCTGTGCTTAATTCCATTACCTATCCTCTAACAGTGTAATTCATGATTTGATATTCAACCTGTATACCGCTTTTGAATCTAATTTTCTCCATTCACTACATTCGGGAACTCCTTAATTTGCGGTGAGGCCATGGATAACGTCAAAAATTTCAACTTTAATATCGTCATACAGATAATATCGTGTAACTTCACTAAAATGCTTCGTACTATGTTAGCACTTAGAATATTGATGGAAGCTTTAACATTAAAATTAGCAAAAAGTATATGAAATGCTGTGCCATGTATGTGAAGGTTAATACATTGTTTAAAATATCGAAAATAACGAAGACTAGATACACTGACTGACAAAATCATTGTAGAACCTCGCACACAAGTGCATTGACTCTAATTGTCGTACTTTACAGTAGTACACAAAAACACGTAGATAGAAAAGGAGTGATATCAAAGTGCACAAAGTTGTATGAAAGAATAGACAGTCTGAGGATAAAGGTTAGTGCGCATATTCAAGCTTTAGATGTCAAGGAGTGGTTTCATCTGCGCTATTGTGATGGATTTTCAACCATGTCACCAACAGTCCTCAACCATTGATTCCTATCGTCTCAAGTACCTCGCTCACATGGTTTGCATCTCCCTACACGACTCAGACCACCAATCAGGGCTTTAATTTTGGGGGGGGGGTTGTGGGGGTTTAGTGGTTTTTCAAGTTAGTATTCATCATGTACTGACATCAGTTGGAGGAACATTGTAAACCTGGGAGCGCTGGACAGCTGTTTCGTTCTAGAATGGGACTCGGCAGTGGGCACCCAGCCACGAAGCCCGGAGGTCCTAGGTTCGATCTTTGGCGGTGTCATGGGTGCGCACTACTGAGGAGTCTCGTTTTAGGACGAAACAGCTGTGCAGTGCTTCCAGGTTCTCATTCATCAATACATGATGAACACTAACTTGAAAAACAGGGACTTCATGCACTAGTGTCACGTCTTGGTCAGATCGCCCTTAACTCTTTCCCAACTTCCCCTAGCATGGCACGTTAAGGTAGGTGGTGGCTCAGCATGCGGAGCCACCTCAGTTGACTAAGGTTCACAACTTCATCAACTGACTTGCTTTTCCTGCCTAGTACTTTTCTCCTGACTTCAACATTGCTCACACGGTGATTCCGCCAAACTCGAATAATGCTACGAAGAAACATTGCACCATTAAAGTGGATTTTAAGTCGTGTATAACATTTTGAGAATTCCACCAAGATATACATTACTCGAAGCAATAATTTATGACCATAGATTATTACTGCATCTTTATCTAGTGACGTCCTTTTTCACCAACCTAATGCAACTGCAGCTAACTTTATATATCGTGTTAAGTGGTGTGCAACACATCTCACTAATCTTGTGTATTAAAGGTTTACTTCCTTATCGGTCGGCTTGCTTTTCTTATCTGTCACTGTAAGCTAATCATTATGTTGATCATGTGAGCCATGTTGCGAATATAAATATGGTCACTTGGTCTCACAGTTGTAGCTCATTGGTTTAAGTTGTCGACTTTTAAGCAATGCATTCTGGCTTCAGATGCTTTGTCGCATACCTTAGTCTGAACCGTCTCTCCGCCTACCGAAGTTTGAGAGCCAGGTAGTACATTTGGCTCCCACACAATAGGTGTGGCTCATTGCCCACTGCACGGATGCGCATATAGTTGTTGAGTATTCTTGGTTTTTGACTTTTAATTTTAACTAGTTATTCCTAACTTTCATCTTCAAAGATTTCTGGATGCAAACTATTAAGCTTGATTACATCACGTTCACCACAGCTTTTTGAACTGCGGTCGGAACTAAAAACTGAAATCAGTATTGTATTCGCACTGGTTCGATAATAAGCAACAAAAAAGCATTTCTACAGGTCAATTAAACTGTTTCTCAAAGTACTGCCTCAAACTTACCCATCAATTTCTTAGAGCTTATCAAAAGATTGCTTTGTCTTGCAGTAGTCCCAGTGGTGATTACTGAGATCGACTTAACAGTTACGTTTAGGTGTTTTATGAATGTCTCGGAAACGCGTTATTTATCGATGGTTAGGGTGCCAAAGTTGTGATTTTCGAGACATACTATTCTAAGGTTAATAGAGACTTTGAGGTTGTATTCATCATATCAGTCTGTGATGAATACCACCTCAAAAAAACTTCAGTTTAGCATCGTTCGCAACCGTTTGAGAGTGAGATGCCTCTGAATATGTCAGAAAATATCCTGGTATCGGGATGCGATGGAAAAATTATGGGGACAAATATAGAGGCACTCGATGAAAGCTGAGAAAGATGGCCGGTTTATGCTGAATATTAGATGTAAAGTTGCCTTCGTTCGATAAGGTTTCCGCTCCCAGCGAAAAGCAGTAAGGTGAGATACACATCTTTCAAGGTTAACTTTTTCCTACCCGTTTATTTAGGTTTGTCATCATTCTTCTGACCCTGTTAGGATAGTAGTAATTCAAGAAGTAAACATTCATTCTTGTTTTGCTAGGAAATCACGATGAACAAGAGAGATTTAAAAAAAAATTCAATATAGCACTGTTTATTTTCTCATACTTCATCTATGTGTGCCAGTGTTGTAGTGTAAATGTTCTCTTGCAGTATGCCAAAGATTTGCGTATACAGAATAGCCTATTTTCATTAGGATGACAAATTATATATATGATACGCAATCTACATACTGATTTCGATCCATATTTTCTACTTTGAGGTTATTATCTTATGTATGTATCACTTTCAGTTCAATATTGAAGCTCATGAAAATCGTGTTGGACCAGAAACGGAGAACGTATATGATGATTCATTTTTCGAAAGTTTAGATGGTATTGCAAATGCGTTAGACAATGTTGAAGCACGCACTTATGTTGATCGTCGTTGTGTCTATTACCGCAAGTCCCTTTTGGAATCTGGAACATTGGGGACAAAAGGGAATGTACAAGTTATTATTCCTTACTTAACAGAATCTTACTCATCCTCTCAGGTAAGTTTTTCGTCCCAACTTTGTATACAATCATCAAATAAACTTTGGAGTTACGCTCTTATCTTTGGTACTGATTTGAATGTGTCAATAACGTACCATGATCTGGTCGATAAGTCTGCCTTTTGTTCTTTCTACAACTATGTAGTCGGAGAAACTCCTGGGCTGTGCATATATGCAAGAACCAGAAGAATCACGGGATTTTCTTTTGGTGATTTTGAGTTAAAATTATGCAGCAAGCTTACGTACTATATCCTATCATGTTACCTTAATTATCTTACTAGTAATTATATATATGGGCGTTGCTGATCAGAATTGATATAAGTAGTATATGTTGAGAGGGCGGCAGATATCATTGGCAATTACCAGCAATGAGTAAAGATTCTGCCCAGAGAAATGCAAGAGACAATGTGGGCATATTAAGAAGAAGTGGAGATAGAAGCAGAAGAGGAAATAAAGCGCATTGTGCAAATGATTGTCTTAATGGAAAGTGTACAATATTTGATGACTACAGTACAAGATGTCAATGATAAACATTCCTTCCTTCGTCTCCGTCTTATCGTTTTCCACAATAATTTACCTCTCGTGACTCCACCGCAGCTACTGCTGTACTCATTAACTGTCTGGTCACCTTCACCAGCTCACTAATCCATGGGTTGGGCTGGATTCACTGGTCGTAGCTGCTGGATGATGGCATTTGGGACACTTTCGGTGAACTGTGCAACCAGCAACTGCTCTTGGGAGTCCTCATTCAAGGTTAGAAGTGCTCGTCGAAGTAGTTTAGTCAGCTTCACAGCCAATACCAGCGGATCTTCGTCTATTCCAAGTTTCGTGCTCCGGAACTGCTGCATCTCCAGCTCCCTGTCCGCTAGGCTGTCAAACTCCACCTTTAGTCGTTCAACCATTCTCTCCTAAGTCTCCTTCGCATCTACACGTTTCACGCTGCTTCCACTCTACCCCTCAGCAACGCGCCAAGCACCATGACCTTCTCGCCCGGATACCCACCAACTCCATGATCGACCCGAAGTCCCTGATGAAGACCTTGATGTCTCCATCTTCGCACACTGCAGGCCATAGGATCTTCATCACGTCCAGAAGCAGCGACACTAATTGTGAGAAACGACAAGATGGAGACAAAGGAAGGAATGTTTGTTATTGGCGTCTTGTACAGTAGTCATTAAATATTGTACACTTTCCATTGGAATAGTCAGTTACACAATGTGCTTCATTTTTTCTTCTGTTTCTAACTTGATTTGCTCTTAGTACACCCACATTATCTTTTGCGTTTCTCTGGGCAGAATCTTTATTCATTGTTGGTAATTGCCAATGATATCTGCCGCCCTGTCAACATATACTACTTATATGTGAAATGAATCAGCTTTTATTTTCATAGGTAGCATGATATTCTAAAAATTTCCATTTTTCAATTTATAGGATCCCCAGAAAAATCATTCCCTGCCTGTACTCTGAAAAATTTCCCATATCTTATTGAACATACTCTTCAATGGGCACGCGATTTATTCGAAGGTTTGTTTGTTCATCAATCACAAGCTATGAGCTCATTCTTACAGGTTAGTTCAAATTTTGTTTTATTCGTCTTTCATATTTGTTTTAGCTTTTAACTGTTTGCATCCATTCAAATTGTTTAATCGTTAATTAATATTTCTATATTTATTCACAGCATTTACTTTCAAACATATTTCATTTATTGCTTATTTTCAATATCGTGAAAACTTATTCATTTGAGCCTCATAACTGTGTAATCGATTCCGCATCGACTAGACGAAGCTATGTATAGTAAAAATGAGGTCTAATGGTACTGTTTATAAGTGGAAGACAGATGTAGAACTGTGACTAATTGGTTTAGAGATATAACTTTCAACTAGGTCACGAGTTCGAGCCCTGTTCCACCTACCGAAATTTTTACAACCAGTGAGTATCATCAGTAGCCCTCACAAAATAGGTGTAGCTCGCTGCCTACTGCATGAATGTGCACAAGGTTGGTGAGTGCATTTGATGATAAACGATATCAAAGACGGTACTATCTAATCGACAGATTTTATTTATAATAGTGGTTCTTCATTCACGTGCCAAGGCAGGTAAATATGCCCTCAGTAATATCTTCAAGCAAGAAGTACCCAGTGTTAATATGTAGTTTAAATCAAAGGTACAAACGAAACTGATTGGTTAGGTGAACAGGATAAAATGTTAAAATACAAGGATAATTTATGGTTACTCCGTATACAGTTGAATGATTTGTTTTAATCCATTACAATAAAATTCAATTGTTAGCCCTGTTACCATTTTTATGGATACAGTCATCAATCGATGGAGGCTGAGTGGGTCGTAGCCACATTTTACTAAGTTAGCCTCAAAATAAACCCGTTTTATTTTGGACCATAGATTTATACCTTAGTAACAAATGGAAGACCGAACTGAAGCAAGTTAATTCGCCTTTTTTTTGTAGGCGTATGAATTTATAAAGAATTTATATTGAAGCAGACACTAAAAGCGGAAGTCGACTTATATGTCCCAACCTTATTGTCAGCACTTTGGTGTATCAGCAGATAATTATTTGGTTACCACTCTTAGGAAATTAACTACACTGAAATAGTATTCGCACATATTATTGATTAAGTTGTTTAGGCACTGGTGCTTTCAAAATTCTCATTTATTGTTCATTTGAATCTGTGTCAGTTAGTGAATTTCACCATAGGGCTTAAAATACTGCATATCGATTCCAGGTGTTACATTGCTATAGTTTCAGGATCCGTTTGAATGTTAATCATTCCACCTGATTGATACAGCACACAGTTGTTCTACATTTTCATAATTCTTCTTATGATATATATTGTGTTTGAAACTTGTAGCAGCGTTTTCACCTCTCGCTTATCATACGGAAGAGGAACTTTTTGCAAATGGTTCTGACAACCAGTTATTATCATCTACCCACTCAGTAGGCGTGCTTCGTATCCTTAGTGCAAGTGGTTGTTTAGCTGCGTTTATTTGGCAAACTTTTGTACCGTATTCACATGTAGTAATTATGTCCAGAATGCCGTTTTACCTCCTTGCTCATCTATTATTATGCAAGTGAAGTAAAATAAGCTTAAAGTAATGCCTACATTTCTCTCCTTCACCTAGGACCCTTCAGGATTTTTGGAAAGAACATTGACAACTCAAGGAAATCAACCCTTAGAAATCCTGGAAACTTTGAAAACTAATTTGATGGATAAACGACCAAATAATTTTGAGGACTGTGTTACGTGGGCCAGATTAATATGGCAGGTTAGTTCACTATTTTTAAACGTGCTTATGTTAATTATCTTCAGCATGGCTAACGGAAGTTGGTCTTAAATGCTGTAGCGAGACTTAGACATTCTCTGCTTTATCCTGGTTTATCTGTAAACACAGAGTTAAATTCCTGAATTCCCTCCAATGGATATGTGACTCGTTAGCTTAAGCATTTGACTTTCGACCAATTGATCCTGGATTCAAACCCTGTCACACTTGCTTCGGCATAGGCAACCGGGTAGTATCGTAAACCTCTGCACAGTAAATGTGGCTCATAGCCTATTACATAAAACATGTAGCCAGTTGAGCTACGTTACGTTAGAAAATTTTGCGTTAGCGTACAACTTACATACATGTTCCCTGATTTTACTCCAGAAGGAACCCACAATATTATTTGACTTCTCATGTTTACTGTTATATAACCTAATTTTTTTCCGGTTCAACTGATGTATGTACACGATATTTATATTTGTAAACTTGTCTCACTACACCAATCAAATTAAACATAATCTAGGAATTTTTAACGTCTAAAACCAATTTCAATAGCATTTCAATATGATTTAATCTCTTTTTGTAGGATTTATTTTCAAACACAATCGCACAACTTTTGTTCAATTTCCCTCGTGATCATGTTACCTCCACTGGTGCTGATTTCTGGTCAGGAACCAAAAGGTGCCCGCATCCATTGGAGTTCGATGTCCAAAATGTAAGTTCCATGCTGTAGTTAACCAGATTAAACTTCAGTTTCACATTCTTGGGTGCTATAAAAATTGGATCCCGTCCTTGACACTTTTTATTTTGAGCTACTTTAAAGACCACACTATCAACTGATGAAATAGCCAATCAGATTTTAGTTTTCCTGCTGGAAAGGCAAGTTTTCACAATATAGAGAAGTCTGATTGGTCACTTCATTTGTTGCTATGGTGGCCTTTAAATTCACTCTTTTTTTTAATAAATGGAATATTTGTAAGTTGAAGTTTCTTATAGATGACTAATGACTTCATACGTTTCTGTTGCGGTCATGTAACTCTATTTCACGGTAAGAAGGGAGAGCTGAACTAAAATAGATTTCATCTATACGGTTCAATATTTGAATTTTCATCGCTTAGTCCTTAAATGGTTTTAGAAGGATGGTGATTTACTACAGATTTCCATCGTGTTACACTTTAGAGTGAAAATTTACGATGTGCTATGCAGTTTTTTTGAGTTTATTATTTGTGAAGAGGCATAATTTTTACTCTTATTCAGGCAACACATTTGGAGTTTATTTTGGCGGCTTCAAACCTCCGAGCAGAATGCTATAGTATACCGCAATGCCGAAACGTTGCCAAGATCTCGGAGATTGTTCAGAATGTGACTGTTCCTCCCTTCGTACCTCGTTCAGGTGTGCGGATTGAAGTGACCGAAGCCGAGGCGCAAGCCAGAGCAGCTGCACCGATGGCTGATGCATCCCGGCTTGAAAATCTTCAAAAGGCATTACGCAATTTCAGTAAGTTTATTTATTGTGGTTACTATCTTACTCCAACTAAAGCTGTAATGTGCAGCTTTCAAATACTCTTGATGACTTTACGGTTTGCAGCTTGCCATTGAACTATCGGTTTTTTATACTTTACTTTCTAAAGTGTAGGTTTACTACAAAGACTTAATACAGCTTCATAAAACTTGATAATCTATTGAGATCGATTCTGAGCTATATTACCCAGTCTCCAACCCACGATTTCTATTGTCATGAGGACCGCAACCGGAAAGTCTACATTCCTCTACACATATCAGGTCAACAGGGGAAGATTTCATGTACTGATGGCATGTTTTAGTCTCCCCACCTCTGATCTTTTCAAGTCTGAACCTACTTCAATGACGAGGCAGATAGTGGCCAGGGATACGTAACACATGTCTCAGTCATTGGAGTCGATGAGGACTCACAACTAAGTTGACTGACTTTCCTCTTCTCAAAACTGTGCACGTGGCTTCTACGTCAGTGGCGTTTTGACACCACGACACGCGGCTTATATTGCATAGAGAACAGTAGTCGGACACATAAACCCTTCTCCTTTGCTGTACCTTAAGTGGTCATGTTTTACAGCCATTTAATTTAACAAAGGAAACTACAGTGCGGCACAATTAACGTTTTGTATCTGTGCAGAGATTTTTCAGTCAATCACCCACCAGGACTGATCTGACTTGGTCAACGCACTCAACTGCTTTATTCTTTAACATGAAACAGAGTACCGGTAAAGACCAGTCGTGGAGCATAAATTTGCATTTGAGGAGCGAGGAAACTCATCCTAAGCATTTCAGAATCGTCATTCAATGTGCTCGGTAAACTCTGCATCTAGTCATCGTCTTCAACTAAGAGGACTATGTCATCTGTATACTCTAGGTCTACTGTGGATTATACTGTAACAAGGCCAACCCCTGTTAAGCCAAATGATGAGAGGGAGACATCCATAAGTATATCTATGACAAAAGTTGAGAGTAGAAAGAATGAACATCCTTGACGTATGCAACTCCCCTGACAACTCAAGATGCGTTCTGAAACGTCCTCGGGTGTTAGGATACAGAGGCTCCAACAAGTTGATGTACTTATATGGCACCACTTTCAGTGAGAGGCACTGCCGTAAGCCCTGTCGACCGGTGGGCCTCGGTAAGTGTCTGTGTTCCAGGACTTGGTAGAGGGTGAATGTCTGGTTGATACACCCACGATAGATCTCAAATCTGCGAGATTTTTTATCAGTTCACTGTTTTCCAATTTCATCTAGGCGTCTAGTGATTATAGAACCATCGATCTCAGACACTTTTCATCAGATTGAGTCGGCTGTAATCGTAAGGTTTTTTTCTCTTTTTTTGAAGACTAGGACAGTCAGTGGTGGAGACTAGTCAGAGAGGGGAACATATCTGATTGCGCTACCTAACACTTCACTTCATCCAACGAATAATTTCCAATCATCGTCCTTAAATTCATCCGCCCCGCCTGTCTACCTCATTTCTATTCGGGATATCACTGAAGAGCAAGCAACAGTAGAGTTGCTGCTGGCCAGTTAAACTGTTCTTCAGAGTTTTCAACCCATCGTTTCCTCTGCGAGTAAATCTCAGATCCATGTTTTCTCCTTTATTGTCTCAGCAACTATTGACTTTTTCCTCCAGTTTTCTTGATTAGTCTGAATAACTGTCTCACTTTGCATATTGCCACTACATTTTTCATCTATTAAGCTTTCGTTACTTAAGATTATCACCCTACAGTTGATATCACAGATCGGTGATTGAGAATTAAGCTCATATCTAGTCATTCATACAGTCATGAAGGGTGAGGTAGTGCTTTGGCATTACAGTTGATTTCGGAATGCTGGGTAATTCGCTTGCACCAACACTAATACATAGTATCTAGACAAGTAAGATGATAGCAACAAAGCTTTCCTAATGTTATAGTCTTACTAATTTAGCAATAACATGTTTCTTTTCGAACAATTATTTCATTTTATGTTTGAGTTGATACTTTTTATGTTATTTACCTTTTTTGCTGATGATCTAGGTGATACTCAGAAACTGCATGTCAACGTGATTGAATTCGAAAAAGATGATGATGCTAACTTTCATATGGATTTCATCACATCAGCAAGCAATTTAAGGGCTGATAATTATGAGATTCCTCAAGCTGATCGACTCAAAAGTAAACTGATCGCTGGTAAAATTATTCCCGCTATAGCTACCACAACTAGTTTAGTGGCTGGCTTAGTGTGTTTGGAATTGTTTAAGGTTTGTAAACAGATTTTAGTTAGTTGTCATTGTTCCGTGTACTTTTATGGCTGCAATTCATGTTATTCAAGCTCTCTTCGTAAACTGTAGTTGTTCGTTTACAAAAGGTTGATAAAAATGCTAAGCAGTGACTATACTTTTTGTTGTTGTTTATTTCCCATAGGTTAAACAGTATTTTGTTTTTAGTATCGATTAAGTGTAATAAAAAGAGATCAAAAGTTTAAATTGCTAATAAAAATGAAGTTTTTATGGTGACTTACTATTCACATCGTGATTATTGTTAATTGTTTATGTTCTCACTGTTTTTTGCTGTTGAAATATTGATCATAGATCGTTCAAGGTCATAAGAAACTTGAACGATTCAAAAATGCTTACGTTGATCTGGCATCACCATTCACCTCTTTCTATGAACCGGTACCACCTGCGAAGTCGAAATACTATGATACAGAATTTTCATTATGGGATCGATTTGAACTTTCTGGTCCAATGACTTTACAAGGTTTAGTTGACTACTTCAAGGTAGGCATTCTTTTCGGTTCTAATTGATTCATATAATTGTTTTGTAGAATAATTTAAAGTTGAATGTGACAATGTTATCCCAAGATGTGTCGATGCTTTATGCCTTCTTCATGCCGGAGGCAAGGCGAAAGGAACGTTTAGTCATGTCGTAAGTTGGTTAAATATTTACCGTTGTTACTCTACTTATGAAACATATACGTTGTTTGCATGTTACATAGTGCTAGAGGTCCTTGAAAGGGAAGACGATAAACAAAGAAATGTAATCACGCAACTGCTCACAGTTTATCGTACAAATACCACACCTTGCTGCAGAGACGTTGGTAGGTGGAGCAGTTTCCGAATTCAAGTCACGGGTTGTAGTCGAACACATAGACTAGTGAGTCATAGCTATAAGCTAATTGCGAAATTTATACACAGCCTAATATATGTATCTCACTGTCAATAAAGGGGTTATACAAAAACGAAAGTAATGTGTCATCAATTTGAACGATTCATATAATTTCCAGCTTCTTCGAAGCATATTTATTCTTATCACGAAGAGTCATCTGCTTGCTCATGTAGTTATGCATTTGTCTAGGTTGGGTTGTGTTCTTTACGAGGTATTCCACTTACTATGAGAGAATGACATCGGCACTATCAAAGTACATTGGATTATCAGCAGACGAGAAATGCACGCAATCACAGAAACCCGTATAGCTTCGGTTCATTAGCTAGACTTGTGCATACTATAGAAAATGACAGTCGCCTTGGTTATGTCATAGTAATACTTTTTGTGTGTGACGTATTATGCTTCTTTATTTTATTTCCCCCACTATTACTCCTATTCCTTCCAAGTTTGCTTCGTTTAATGTAGCAAACCTCATATTACTCATTGAAGATTCCAATAGTTCTATGGTTTCATACTATTACCAAGCTTCTTATTTAATTTTCTAACTTATCTGTTGTCTCATCTTTGGATGTTCCAATTTTCATCGTATGTTTTTAACCTATCCTCCAACTTTTTCACGCCTTTACTCCGCAACACCACATTTGGTGTTTTAGTGTATATGACACTTGTGTATATTCCTGTATTACAACATGGTATGTATACTCAATTATCTGAACCATTCAGATGAAGAGTTCTGCTGAAAGCGTCTTGTTTCTTCACTTTTGTTTAAATCTGTTTGGATGTGGTTCACCACTCATCTAGATATCCATTTTCCATGGATTAGGTCACGAGTTCAAATTCCTCTTCAATTACAGTCTGGGCAACCAGATGATGTTATAAACCATTATCTGGTTTTCGAATTTTGGGAAAGAGGTGCTTTCATTAGTGCAGCTGTGAAAGAGTTATTTGGATTACAATGTACTATATTATTGAGGTACTTGTTGTTGTTTATAATTTCCGCACTTACAGCTTCGTTAGGATCCTAATATAGAGATTATGTTTCGAAAAATTTGTTTTGAAAATCTTCATTTTTTTCAATGTCAATGAAGTAAAATTGAATCTAGTGTAAGAAACGATAAGACGGAGACGAAGGAAGAAACGTTTATCATTGATATCTTGTACTGTAGTCATCAAATACTGTACACTTTCCACTAAGACAATCATTTGCACAATGCGCTTTATTTCCTCTCCTGCTTCTATCTCCACTTCTTCTTAATATGCCCACATTGTCTCTTGCATTTCTCTGGGCAGAATCTTTACTCGTTGCTGGTAGTTGCCGATGATTTCTCAACATATACTACTTATATGCATTCTGATCAGTAGCACCCACTACATCAGTAATCATATTTTCATGCTAATAAATACTAACTGCCGTACACCTGTTTTTGTCATGTGATTTAAATTGTTTCAATGATATTGGCTTATAGAAAAGTATAGTTCTTGTTGTGTATGCTTCATTGTATTATCTTTTCCAGATTGAAACAGCTTGTGGAAACAGTTAGCAAACGTCAAATCCCTCCACATGTCAAGGCATTAGTTTTCGATGTCTGCTGTAGTGATATGAATGATGAAGATGTTGATGTACCGTATATTCGCTATGTACTTGAGCCAACCAAATAAATCTCATGCATTCATGTCTTTCCAGAAGTATATAAACGTCGCCAATTCAATTTTCACAGTCAACTCTTTATAATAAAATCAATAACAAAACGATTTTGAGTCCTCTTTTATTTCACAAAAAAATATCACAAAAAAAAGTTGACTGTCAATTTCTCTACACATTGTATAAGCTGTTACTAAACAAATTAACAAGTGGGAATGAATGAGTAGATAGTCTCCAATGCGATTCTCTGTGCTGTTTTTCGTGTTTTGTTGGCGTCTAATAGTCTGTGTATAATTGAAGTTGGTTTTTTGTTCTCGTGTATTTTGAAGTAGTAAGTGTTTTTCTTGACCAATTCATTTCTATACGAGAAGTTTTTAGAGTATAGGTTCACTTGGGCTAGTTTATTATCACTAATTGGTTCCTTTATCACTTCTTTTGAATGTGTATGCGTACGTGGGTTTATTTCATTGAACTGAAAGCTTTGACAAAAATATTTATACATGCATGATTTACGTTTTAAACGATCAGTAACACTAGACAAGTGTTTTTAAGATTTTTTTAAATCCTTTTTGATGAACGCAATCTAGTTTCAGTGTTTATACTAGTTATCTGAATTCGTCTAGGCGAATACCAATAAAAAGTAAAGAAGTTTTTCAAACGCAGTTTGTAAAGTGATTTCCTGCCTGAGTTTCTCGTTTCGTGTAACGTTATCACCTGTGGTGGATCAATCCACTACTGAAATGCTTGAATTTAGTACTAACAATCAAATTATCTAAAGTGTAATTGGAGTATAAAGAGGTGAAGTAGACTGTTTTATGTATGGTAGACTATGTTGTGTAATACTGACTGGTTATCACTAAAGAGTTTGTCATCCGTTCTACCTGTGACTGCATATTGGATTTCATATCGATAAGTTCGCCTATGTCTTGAAAGGCAAGTCGGTTGATGAAGTTGTGGACCTTAGTCAACTGAGAAGGCTTGGGGGTATGTACTCCGCATTCCGAGTCACCGCCTGCCTCAATATACCTTGCTAAAGGAAGTTGGATCCGGTTGAATGAGAGTTCAGCGTGGCCAGACCAAGACGTCTTACTGGTCTATGAAGTCTCTTACTGTTGATCTGAGTTGTTGAGGTAGATGTAGACTGTTGGCTGGATTACCCGTGACGATAGGAATCAGAGGTTGAGGACTCTTGGTGACTTGACCGAAAATCGGTCCGTTACAACGGCGCCGACGAATTCAATACTTGACATCTAAAGCTTGAATATTCACACTAACATTTATCCTAAGACTTAATAATCTCACACACCTTTGTGTACTTTGATACCACTCATTTTCCATCTACCTGTTTTTTGTGTACTACTATGAAGTGTGGCAACTTGAGCCGTCGCACCTGTGTGCGAGGTTGTATGCTGATTTTGTCAGTCAGTCTGTATATTGATCATTAATTAACTAGAGTGTAGGTTTGGCGAATCATCTAAGTCATTTTTGTTGTGTATAGGTATCGAATTTATTTCATTATTTTGTCTTTTATAATCGGTTTAGTCTAAAGATTCTGCGTGAATAGACGATTTTCACAAACAATGGCTTGCTCAGTTACGTTTGTTAGTAAGGAATCTCAGCATTCACTCATTTCATATTTGTAACAGTCTCGATTGTAACTAGTAAATGAGTTGGATCCTTTAACTTCCAACCGAAAATCATTTCAACTGATTCAAGCAGTTGGTGTAGTGAAATTTCATCTAGAACTAAATGAATTATTAAATCGGTCTGTCTTTTAGTTGTATTGACCGTATCAACTGCAGTTGTTGAATTCAGGGCTAGGCTAAAAGGAAAAAAACTTGTTTGAGTAAATGATCAGTCAATTTTGTAGCTAATTGATGGACACGTTGCTGAATGTTTCATGGTAAGAACACCTCCCCAGCTAACATGGGAAACTGTTTTTACACCCTATTAGCAAACTATGTCTAAATGACAGTAACTTCTCGTTTCCTTACTTGTACTAGATCATGATACGTTTTTGGGTGTCCAGTATGTGTTAAGTATTGAAAAATAAGTTATTCACTGGGGTTAATGTTGAAACAAGCCTGCCTATTGAACTTGCTTGTAATGAAAGCAACATATTGCTGATATATGATAAATCGCCTGAATTAAACTTATGGACAAAGCAAAATGAAAAAATCTGAGTTCATGTGTGATCAGATTGTTCGAAATGTTTGGTGGTAATACATCACAGATCTTTCAGATAATCGCCATCAACTTATTACAGTATCCAAATTAGAACGTAGTAATTCATGTTTGAGTTATTTTTTCGAATGTAAGAAGTACTCATTATTTTTTAGTGTCTTATTGACTATTCATTCCGAATTATTAAAGTTCTTCCGCACATTCATTTGTGAAAGTTTGTGTCCGATGAAATTCGTTCGCAAAATAGAATCTTGATATTGTATTGGATCGCAATGGTACTCCTGAATCATAGGCCTTAACAATAATCATCTCACACAGATCTTACACCTCGGATGAAATTAGGAGAGTGCTCAACAAACACTATTATGGTGTTCTACAGAGCATCAAATACATTGTGGTTCATGTGCAGGAAAAAATCCCCCTGGATTTACGCTCTGATTGTATTTATGAAATAAAATACTCAGACTGTGGTGCCAATCAATGTACATGGGATAAACTTCACATGAAATTAGATTTTAGAAAAATGAACACCAAAGGGCTTCTACTTGACCCCTTTAAAATCCAGTAGAACTGAAAATATTTGAAAATACTTTAGTCATAGCTCTACACTATAATTTCAGAATACAAGGTTGCTTTTGATAATATCGAAATGATTCAGAGAGGCGGCTTTAGAAATTATAATGGACATCTCATAGCACAATCTCTTCAAATAAAGTCGAATCGAAATTGTCTAAACAGGAACGATGGAGTAAAACGTAGCTTGATCTGGTCTCAATCCACCCCCGCATGCCGACATTACCAGCATACGGTGAGAACTATCAGCAAGTGTGTAAATACAAATTTCTATCTGTATTTCACACACAATACACAACATGTGGATATCATCTTTGCTCAACAATTTAACCACGCAGGATCATTCATCCGGAAGAGTGCATATCAAGTCATTTAAAATGAATTTATCTTTAACATTCATCATTAGGAAGTATGACCATCTAAACAATGGGTTAGTGTCTGGCAGATGAGACCTGTTGAAGTAGCTATTGTTCTCCAGTGGCTTAGTGGTTAGTGCTCTGGCGTTTGAAGCGAAGGGTACTGGGTTCAAGTCTCTGCAGGAACAACACTCAGTGGGCTGAAGGTGTATCCAGCTGACGATTCCTAAATAGGACGGAACGCGCGTGAAGCTGGATTCTTCTGCTGGTCATCAAGATCAATTTAACCTCTAGTAATTCACATTTAATCAAAGATTTAAGGGAGGAAATTCTCTAAGTGATGACTTTATTTCCAAAAATATGCAGTTGTATGCATACAAGATTAAAAGAGAAGGGATAGTGCAAACAAACACTTGTTTATGTCCAAGTTAGTTCTTATCACGAGTGGGACTATGGGATTGCAGTAACCTCAGTAAAAGTAGGAGGCTAAAGATAGGAAATACCGGTATTTTTCCACCTTGATAGATAAGGCTGACGTTATATCATGAGCTAACAAAAACGCGATAACTGGCGAACAAGATAATTGTCATGACCTCTAAAGATCTAGATTATGCATGGTGTCATAGATTCACACTATTGAATAGTCTCAACTCAGTAAGTAACAAACATCCAGTACTATCTGGTTCATTGGGATCCACAATCTGATTTCAGTTCACGTGCATCACCTAATATTACTACAGTTAACTACATTCCATTGCATATAAGTCAGTTCATCGACATGGATTCCACTGAAGATTAATGAAGACGGCCAGTCTTCTTGCTCATCAAACATCATTTCAAGTTATTACTTATACAACAACTTCAAAATGAGAAGCAGACAGGGAGAGCGACAGGTAGATGCTTCTTTCAGTTGTCAGACACTTCAGACGTCTGCACGTAAAACTCTTTAACTGTTGATAAAAGTCAACTTACAAAGACACCAGGAATTGTTAGTTTTGTCAATCTTATCATTCTGCCTTGAAAAAAATCCCCATTACCATTTAATAAAGTCGTATACTTTTTCAAGAAATGTTATTTTATGACTGACTGTGTACAGGATTTGCATCATGAATATAGGAGTGGAACTTGACCACTATAGTAGACTCCATTTTAGTCGGTTTATTGGAAATGTCACAGCGAAACCGTATCATTCAATGGAAAACGTTTCGGACAGAACTTATTGTTCATACTCCTATCATATCATTTACATTGTCGACGGATGACAGTGATTAGACTACAAATTTGCATATTAGATTTGTTTATTTGATCTATAACACACAGTGATACAGTATTATTTACTGGATGACGTTTCAAGCATAAATCATTATTGCTCATAAACATATCGATGTGATCATATCCCACTTTCGACATCTGATTTCTATAGTCCTGTCACGTCATATCATGTATTTCTGTTAGTAGTAAAGTTTCCTATATCTTTCGTGTGGGTGTTGCGGCATTTCTATTATATGTATTGACTGGGTTTAGACTTGATGAGCAACGATTTAGTAATCAGTCTCCCTCAACCTCCACTTAATTATTATATTGGTTTTGAGTACAGTTATTTTTTCCCACCCAACCTATTGTGCGGTTGTGTGCTAATACATATATGTTGGAATCGGAACATAACGAGAATTTCCTCACACATAAAATCAGTAGTAGGAAAGGTCCATGCACTCATGAGGTAGAAGGAGAATTATCTATGTTTGATTGCAGGATAAAACGAAGGACAGACGGTGGTATGGATACTACTGTCTACAGAAAACTGACACACTAACAGATATCCAAACTTCAGGTTATCTTATCCAATGTCAGTTAACGCAGGCTTAGTCAAATGTCTAAGTGACAGAGCCAGAAAACTGACTCGT